TAGAGTGGTCGGTGGTTGTTAACGGTGACGTACTTGACGTCCCAGACATGTCCGATGGGTGACAAGACAAGATTCAGTAGTGGTTGGTTGGTTGGCAGGCTGGCTGGTTATAAGGCTGTTATGATTCAGTAGTGGCCATAACAGTGTCGGGTAAGGTTGGCTTCAAAACGATCGTTTTATCCAACGTTAATGGTCTGAAAAAGCTCATACAGTCTATGCTCATTGTTAACATGTGGGGAATCGAACCTGGGTCTTCAGCGTGATCGACTAACTCTTTAGACTATTGGCTACCACACCGCCGAAAGGCTTACGAAAAAGCCGTTTCATCACTGTATGATGATGAGCTGTCTGTTTGTCTATCTGTCTAAAGTATACCTTTTCTGCCTCTATCATGGTTATAATGATCTGAGAAAGAACCTTTGTAAATCATGAACGTCAACCACATATGGCTTGAAATCAGCAGTAAAAGCGCGACACGTCACCTCTTTCCGGCAATTGGAGCGACATGTTAGGGAATTGACTGTCGATATACGAGGAGTAAAACATGGCGATGACAGTAAAATCGTTGTTAATGGCAAAAGTGATGGCAACAAACGGCATTAACAAGAAGAAAAAATCCAAAATATGCGTTGTGGTTTGGACGTATGAGGGAAATACCTTTAACCGATGACTCTTCTTGTGAAGAGGACCATTTCTTATGGGTCCCGATTGTTTACTGTCACATGACATGCTCTTTGAAAACATGTTTAATACATAAATATCAGAAAAAAGACATGACCTGGACCAACTGTCTGAACTGCTGGTTCCAACAGTAGCGCTAATGATGCACACTGAACTCAAACAGAACATATTCATTAATCCAAAGAAGACCCTAATTGTCAGCGGAAGGCAGAGTGTAAAAACTGTCCGAATCTAGAAATGACAAGGACAAATTCAATTTCGAGATGTAGCTTTAGGCGGACCAGCAGGCAACACACGGACGTCAGTGTCGGCGAAGACGGAGACAGATCTGATGGAGTTGGCTGGATGATTAGACTGGAGAGACATATCTAACTGCAAAACGCCAAAAGCTATACTTACCTTTTTCAAACAGAAATGCAGACCCTCTAAATTGTGATTACAAACTGAAAGAGACGTACACCATTTACAGGACAGCCCAAAGCAAAGCCAAAGGACATGAGCCTATGCAAACCTGAATGACACCATGACTTTCAATACCAACATCGTGTGCAGCCAACAAAACACATTCTTCAATGCCATTCTTCAGCCACTCACTAGATACGGTACACTGCAGTCCCAAAAATCGTAACCAAGGGCAATTTAATAAATCCCACACAATCCAGTGCAATCCAGAGCCGTTCTGCAGCATGAATATCTTAAATAGTCTAGATGTAGAAAATCGACGTAAATCCGGATTAATACAAGCATACTCACACGTCGTAAGAGGCGAGTAAGGGGATCGGGTTGAAGCATGTTTTTCGTCTACCAATTGCATGTATCGATGCTAATGTTGTCAATCACTGGATTGCCTGGTCTACTGCTGAGTGAGGCGTCAAACAACAAATCAACCAACCAACTTTTTATAAGGTGTCTCACTCTGAGAATGGGGGATCTAATACAGAATGGAAAACTAGAATCTGTAACTTTACAGAGAAAGTATAGTACCTATATGTTACACACTATAATGAAGTTAAAAACAGCGGGTGGAACCTCAGAGGATAGATCATTTCTGGTGTCCCCCGCCGTGATATTGCTGGAATTTTGCTAAAAGGCAGCGTAAAACCCAACTCTCACTCACTCACTCACTCACTCACTCACTCACTCACTCACTCACTCAGAGGATAGAATAACAGATTTTGTTTTATTTGTTTGTTTATGTATTGGTGAATATTGATATTTCTAAAGAAGAACTATATTTCTAAGGAAATAGGTGTATTATTACGCTGCACTCCTGCTGTATGACGGCTGTCTGTAATTATCAGTTCTGAACCAGGAAATCCAGTAATTGACATCATGAGCATTTACCTACAACTGGGATACAATGACATGTGTCAACCAAGTCAGCAAGTCTGATAATCCGACCGTTAGTCGCCTCTTACTACAAACTGGGTTGCTGAAGAGCAGTTCGAACCCCAACCTTATGGGTCGACGAAATAACAGATTCATCATAAATGCTGCATTATTGATTCTAAATCAACAGTTGGAAGTAAGATCTCCCTGAAGGATATCGGAATACACCATACTATCACATGAGTTAATAAAACTATGAATGCTTTTACTCAAAAGAATTAATCGATAAAAATAACTAATCAGCTTTATGACGTCTCTTTGAGGCTCGTAACAAGCGAAGGGTTCACCAGGCATTCCGTGGGGCTGGAATATGACGTAAGTCAGTTAGGATCTGACAACAATGCTCAGCCAAGGTTATCACGGGTTGTACCTTGGACATCACGTGTTCATAGGGTCACATTCGGTAAGACAAAGACCACATTTTCGCGAAATTTGAAATTTGCTAAAAAGGGAATTGATGGATTAAATTTAGAGTACATTCCATCTGACAAACATCAATTTCCTAAAATGTTAATTAATTTCAGTAACGTCCAACAGGTCTGGTTTCATTTTCCTTCACGTACATCATTTCATCTACAAACACCGTTGTCTCGTGGCTGAAGGGGCTTGAGCAAATATTTCGAGTTATGAAGTAATTAGTGACTAAATGATAAAGACGCATGGATCAATCTTTTATTTCGGGACAATCGCAGGTCTGACACACCGAAGATCGACATAACGACGCTTCAATATATTACTAAGTTGTTCAGGGACGTGTATAGAAATATGCTGCAGAATATGGATTTTGCAGCTCATGATGTAATTTCCACTACTTTTGGTTGATAAGGCTAATCATACTGCTGACTGGCAGTCACATCATCACAGGTGATTGTCCTTGTAAGGTTGTGTTAAAACAACACTCGAATAGCTTTGATTTGATGGCCTTCGGTCACTTATCAGTTCCAACATCATTTTTTTGTATAACACCTGTCCCACTCCGATTGTTTCTCTCACTCTGACAAGCCTCAGATACTTAAACAGGGCGGTAGGGTAGTGGTTAAAGCTTTGGCTTGTCACGCCGTAGACCAGGGTTTGATTCCTCACATGGGCACAATTGGTAAAATGCGTTTCTGGTACCCCCCGCCGTGATATTGCTGGCATTTTACTCACACACTCACCAAGTACATTGAACATATGAGTCACACACATGCCTGTTAATTTTAGTTGTCTCCTTGGGATAAACGTTTAAAAAAATGATACAGACGGCGGGATAGGCTAGGTGTTAAAAGGTTCGCTCGTCACACTGAAGACCCGGGTTCGATTCCCAACATGGCTACAATGCGTGCAGACCTTGTCTAGTGTCCCCCGTCGTGATATTGATGGAATATTGCTAAAATCGGCATAAAACAATAATCACTCACTTACAAAAATGATACATAAAAAACATTAAAAAATACGAAATATAGCATTATATACACACAAGTATTGGTTAATATACTTTTTGCAGTGACATTATTTTGTTTGTATCGCCATGAGCAAGCACTCTGTGCCTGGAGTTTGGGGCAGTATATGTGCACATATTGTTCTTTTACGTATCACGGACAACATACATGCAGCTCCAAGTGAACATGCCTAGAGACTGGAAGTGAATCACTGATGGCGACTATGTGCTCAATTTCCATACACGCAGTCCACCTACCGGGCATCGGGATGGGGTCTGACTGCTGATGGCCACGAGGAACGCATTGTGTCTCTAATTAGTCACCTAGTGGTGTGAAAAATCAATATTGTATGCGTTTTGTTCATGAAAGAACTTTATTGAGGTTTGATGAAATTATAAGATACGCCATGCTTAATGACAACGAAACTTTCAAGTAAGGTTTTGTTATAATATAATTTCCATAGAATTATCTTCACATGGCAATTAACAGAAGCTTGCAGCGACAAAAACAGTTGCTGGCACAGTGTGACAACCAATGACATGGAAGTGAGGTAATATTTAAAAGAAAACAACAAGTTACACATAATGTTCCCACTTTGTAATGTGTTTCTTTTAACGTGAAGATACGAAGTGATGCCGAAATTGCTCATTGTGGACAAATAGGTGTGTCTCGTAACCTTTGATTGCCACTTGTCTACCTCTGTGATCGTTTTACATTTTCTGTGTGACGGATAACCTTAAAAAGCAACCCTGGACCACATAAACCGGTGATTGATTAACCTGTCAAACGCTGATCCAACACATAGTCGTTAAGTGTGACAATGGATTAGCTTAGTGGTTAGAGTGTTCGCTCGTCACGCCGAAGACCCGGGCTCGATTCTTCACATGGGTACAATGTGTGGAGCCCATTGCTGGTGTCATGATTTTGCTGGAATATTGCTAAAAGCGGCGAAAAACTAAACTCACTCACTCACTCACACACTCACAAGTTGCCTCTTACGACAAGCGGGGATTACTGATGATATTAATCCGGATCTTCTCGGGTTCATGCATAATACCAGGCTGGAGAACTGCTTGGTTACTTTCACCCCATAAAGACTGTTGTAAGCGTCCAATTACGACTCAACCAATTTGCAAATTTCATAAATGCAACTATGAAAAGAAAGTAATCTAGTTTCCATGAAATGACGCTAACGACACAATCATCGGAGCTAATTTATTCCGCTTTAACATTTGACATAAAAACAATACAAAACACATATTTGCGTTAACATTTTCAGGTTTAGGCTTGAAATACTCACGTTCCTAATTTCAGACTTGTTACCAAATCCACGAGTCCTACGACTCCGCCTCCTGAACATGCGCCAAGGAGATGACAATAATTAAGGGAATTCCTCGAATTTCAAACCAATCAATCTTCTCAGACACATGAATATGTAAAACATTTACCAGCATCCCATAGAAAAGAATTGGTTTGAAAACTTCATTTTAAACTGCAAAACACAAGAACACTATCTCAGGATTGAAGAGCAATTAACCAACATTTTCCCTTGAATCTGAATAATAGGTCCATGCTTTGAAAGCGTTCGAAAATGTACGTTCATGTCACGCAAACATGTTTTAAAACCCGTTTGGATAGGGTAACAGGACTGGACTTATAGGGGTTGTAGGGAAAGTATTTCCATCACAAATATCTGCAATTACCGGAATAACAAACCGTACTTGCAATCTCAACAAAGCAAGTGGACCCGTTATCAGAGATGGTCCAGTGTAGAATGATTGATTCTGGTGGTTGCTCTCTGCCCTTTTCACCCCATGTAAAGACAGTCCAGAGGAATGGGATAGATGGCAACAGTGGATTATTCGTTAATGAATGTTATTGTTGGTATGTTTACCAACGGCCACATTTGACATGCATTTGTAAATTTCAAGAATGCTTGTCGTTCAAGGAACAATGAGGCGTGGTTAGTATGGGTCTGATATACGAGCGATATATATGATTCTTTAACACGGATAAGCTCTTAATGAAGTCATGTTAATGTTCAAATGTTAATTCCACAGTACCGTCTGATAACGGTAATCTGATGCAGGTGGAGGTCGAGGCCTTGGACATCTTGATTTAAGGGCACGTGAGGCAATAACGCTCAGAATAACCCAATTGATATTCTGAAAAAAATAAAATAAGGCCAACACATTTTTCGAAACTTCCTTTCAGGTTTCAATAACCTGTATGTCATGCATATGTTTACGCCTGTGTGTTATGTTTACATTAATGATCATGCTCTTTTGGTGTAATTAAAGTATCCTTTATCGGGCATGTTTCGTGTACCCTGTCGAACTGAAATTATGTGCCAACTACAACAAATGAAACATGTACTTGGTTAATAGATCTGGAAGGTGACTCTAAACCCTAGATTAATGTAGGCCACAAACGTGATCATGAAATAAAGGTTAGTGACTGCGATCAACTGTTGTAAGCGAGTCATACGTGCTCATTACATCATCATGAATGGGAAAAATCGTAATGAAGATGATGTTGTCAGTGCTTGTTCTGTTTGAAGGGAGGTGTTTGAAGAAGTTCAGTGACGTACGACCTTGTACAAATGGCACAACCTCAAGAACAGACGGATTCCTGTTTGATGATGTTTGAAGCTGTTCTTGTGTCTGCAATGTAAGACATCAACAAAACAAAAAGCAATACCAAGAAAAGAAAGAACAAATACGAAAACCCAAAACAACAAAAACAACAGCCCCAAACGACATGAAAACTGAAATAAAGATCACTCACAAGGAAAACAACAATAATAAAAACCCAGCACAACCCCCCCTTCCCCCAACAACAACCACCCCTCAATAAGAAACAAACAGCGCAAAAACAAACAAAAGCACCAAACAACAGCCTTAAATAAACAAACAAGAATGTTTAAGGAAAACCGAATCAAAACAAAGAAAATAGTCTCAGAGAATATCAGTGATAGATTATCTTGCGAAACAATTGGACGGGGAGCAAGAGGAATCGCCGAAAATGACACCAAGTCTTTAAGAAAAGATCAAGCATGTCCTTCCCTTTGTCGTAGCTGTCAGACGAGGTCTAACCGTGACAAAACGGCGTTACCGTGCAGAGTCAATAGTGGAGGTGCAGGGTCACAAGCAATTACTGCATGTGGTAGGGGGCGATGAATTGGTTAGAGGGGTCAGGTCACTGACGAAACTGGTTGGTCACCGCATGGACTAAAACATCAATCATGAACGTAGCTTGCACAGACTCGATTATTTACAGACGACATTGCATGTCGCTGGGATATAGCTGCTGAATGTGGCTTACACAAAAAATACAAACGACTTCTTTGATTGGCATGCTAGAAGTTGGGGAGATGAAGAATGAGGACAATATTTATGGATCTACAACTTCTTTATTCTGTATAGGCGCCGTTTCGATATTGATTCAAATGTAACTTGATTGACAACGACATTAGGATATATGTCAAAACGTCGCCTATACAGAATAAAGAAGTTGTAGATCCATAAAAAACTGTCCTCATTCTTCAAGAAAACAAAAGGTTGGTCAGTCTTCCATGGACTACCATGATGTACACTTTCCACTGCCCGGCAAAAGAAAATATATACTTGAAACTTGGCTGTAACCAAAACATTATGGAGATTATCAAAACATTACTTCGCTGAAAACGGTCGCAGTAGTTTCATTTTACTACCATGTATGTGGATGTATGCCTTTTAGCAATCATGCGGAACATAAGCTGGGGTTTGCATAAAAATATACAGTCAAACACTTTTCACCGCTGGGACCAAGTTTTAGCGGTGTTTGACACTAGGTCGGCAGTTATTTATACGGGAGGATTGTATCCTTTGCCCTGCTGTATCAGAGTACATTTGCTTTAGTTAGGAGGCTAGTTTGTTTATAAATGATGAGGCATTCAGCACGAAAACAAAATTACGAACGGCACCTACCGCTCCCTTCACAGACGAGTTCATTTCGCCTATCGTCCCATGCCGGATTACGGAGTGTCTTCCGCAGAGCGAGGAAGTTCGATTTTAAATGGGTCATGGTAGAATGGAGATAACCCTCGTGTGTTTGAAAATCAGAGACATGCTTTACTGAATTGATGGCGTGAGGTTTCAATTGAAATATTTAGTCGCCATCAATTCAGTAAAGCATGTCTCTGGTTTTCAAACACACTAGGTTTATCTCCTAAATGATGAGGTATTCAGCACGAAAACAACATAAAGACGGTGTGATAGGTTCACATTTTGGCTTACACCTGGTGTTACTATTTGATCGTGATTAATGATTACACACTAATTATATGCATGGAGTCGTTGTCTGCGTTTAGCGGAGACTTTTTGTATAAATTATGGACTTGTTTTGTCGCTTACAATTGTACCCCACTTGTTGCTATCTCACTTCATCCAATACTTTGTATTATAACGCATGTATTAAACGTGTGTTGATTGGCAGTGATCTGTGATGTAGAAGGCAGAGCTTTAACATCGTCGACAACGTGATGAGGTTCCTGTATCCTGTTCATCATTACATTTCCTTCAAGCATGTGAGGATGCTTCCATATACTTATATGGTAACTTAATACCTCCTTGGCGTGGGAGATTTGCCAAGGTCACACATATAACTTGTCGTATGCCGTATTCACACGTCTCTATATCTTAATGCACTACACTGAATCATCTGAAAAACAATCTGTTCTGCTCAAAATCGACAATACTTTTTCAATGGAGATATGGTGTTTCAAAATGAAGTGATCAAATGCATTATAACATCTAATTTCTTGATACAAATTCTCATTTGTTGCTAATGGAACTATATTTTCTGATGTCATTACGCTTTTCAAGGTTGACAGATATCTTGTGGAACTGAAGGCTATTCGACTTCTTCCGTCTTTCCGATCTGGTTTACAACAGAAGGTGTACGTAGCTGTCAGTAATGTATGTATCCTAAAACCATTAAAAACAAGTTGATATTTCTACTTTCGTGATTGATAGAGCTGGTCCTATTTTGCTTGGTTGTATATATGCAGTAACACGCTTTCAAGGCCACTGTTGAAGTGGGAGTGTATTCTGTTACACGTTGAATCCCAAATTACAAGTGAACCGGAGATAATTTCTTTAAAAGAAGTTGATTCGAATTATAGAAACAATACAGAAATGTGATATAATTAACAATTGTATTCTAAACTTAGCTAAATTTACAAATAACTACAAAAAGGAAGTAAAAGTGTCAGCATAAAATAGAGTGACATAAAGCAATGATCAGAACAATAAGAAAATAATGGAAATAGTCACCTTGCTGTAATAGGCCTTGACTCAGTATCCAGGATGAAAGGCGATCTTCACACAACTGCTGTAAATGTCATGTGAGATAACTGAGACAAAGCGCGCCCCTTTATATAGTGTGACTGTCCTGGAACTTTCCTTAATATTCCGGGTTAACCTATGCTGGAAAGACCCATGCAGTTTTAGTACCTTGTAGTATCTTCAAGATCTCTCAGTCTAAATATAGCATTAAAAATAAGTAGATATTTCTACATTCCTGATTGATAGAGCTGGTCCTATTTTGCTTGGTTGTATATATGCTGTAACACGCTATCAATGCCAGTGATGACGTGGGAGTATATTCCGCTGCACGTTGAATCCCAAGTTATAAGTTAACCAGAAGTTATTCCTTAAAAGAAGCTGATTTGAATTCTTGAAACAAGAAACAGAAATATGATATAATTAACAATTTTATTCTAAACTTAACTGACTTTACAAATGACTACAAAAAAGGAAGTAAAGTGTCAGCATAAAATAGAGGGATAATGACAATATTACATAAAGTAATGATCAGAACAATAAGAAAATGATGGAAATATTCACTTCGCTGTAATAGGCCTTGGCTCAGTATCCAGAATGAAAGGCGATCTTCACACAGCTGCTTGTCTTCTTGTAACGTAAATGTCATGTGAGGTAACTGACGTAAAAGCACGCCTCTTTATACAGTGTAACTGTTCTGAAACGTTCCTTAATATACTGGGTTAACCTAATCTGGAAAGAACCACACAGTACTAGTACCTTGTAGTACCTTCTAGAACACTCAATGCTACGGCTTGTCTTCTTGTAACGTACAGTCCGTTTGATTTCAGTTGAGACCGATGAATTGCTCAACCCAATTTTGCACACATGAATTCGACGGACCAACTCTGATGATTTGTCTCATACCTTTGACATCCGAATAAAAAAGTTGTTTAACAAACGATCATTATTTTGTTGTCACTTTTTGTTATTATTAACGAGGGGGAGCACTTGCTGGTAGAACAGCCAGGTAATCAACGAGCGTGTATAGTGAAATTTCAAATTTACACGTGCAACTCGCACACCTGGCTGTTCTACCAACAAGTGGTCCCCCCTCGTAATACTATTTGGAGTATTTTCTTACTTCTTCATCCTGTGAAAGAAACCTTTGACATCTTATGACATATATACGCATCCCAGCTTTCATTCACTTGGGGCATGAAAACATATCCTTTCTCTGAATTTAGTGAAGGAATGGAACTCCCTGTTGTTGTGAGATTTTGTAGCTCTGATTTCACTGGCTAAAAAGGCAATTCATTTGAAGTGAGCACAAGTGTCCCTTAGTGCTCGAAACCTAGTACATTTCTGCCTGTTTGCAGATTTGTGTTTTGAAAATGATATTTGGTCTGGAGCAGCACCCACACAAAAACAGCAGAAACTACGAACTAACTTCCAACGTTTTGAAAAACAACAACAACATTGACAAATATTCTTAATATCATGAGATACGAGTTTCCTAAAGAGTTGCTGAAACTTGGCGATCAAGAATAGGGTCATTTTACACGATATCATTTACTTAAACAGGGCATTCATACTACTTCATGGAGTGAAAATACGTCTTTTTTTCTGATATATAATAATGATAAATGACTATAAAAGATAGTATTACCCTCGTGTGTTTCCTAAATGCGTTTTCATAAGTACCATATACTAGAAATAGAACATATGTATTAAACTCGCATAATACAAATTGTATTTTACATACAGATACACACAACACACACTCTTTCTTTGTTTGACTGTCATATAAAGGTTGTAGGTCGTAGGTTTCAGGTTTTAAAGATGATGGTATCCAAATAGGTATGAAAAAGAATACGCACTGCGCAGCATTTTTTAAAATATATTGATGCACAATATAGTTTGCGCAAACCATTTGCATATAATATAAATGACATTTCATAATAAGCGTTTGATATATGATGTTTATGAATATATTGTATGAAATTTTTAATCTATATTGTATTTATCTCCCTGAAATGTCACAAAAACAAAATGTTCAAGAATATATTTTGTTTTGTGGTTGAACACTACGTCAGAATTATTTTTGTATGATAGACAGACACTGTCAGGCTTAATTTGGAGGTTTGTCGTATTAGCCCAGAATATAGACTCATAGACATTCTGGGAAAGTAGGAAACATGTAAATCTGTGTTTAATGTAAGAACTTTGAGGATATTGAAGATGGTTATCAATTTATAACATATATTTGATATCTTGTGACCATTATTTTGGTATATATTTCAGCGGAATTGTATGCATTCCCAAGACATGCATTAAGTCAGCTCTGAATATCTCAGTTGTGAAACAGTAATCAAGTAATTGTCTTGATATGTTTGTGTATGCCAAGCAATCCGTTACAATATTAAATTGCAAAACTATATTATCATATGACACTTCTTACTCCAGATGATGGTTCTGTAATTTGGTCATAACAATTTAGTCATAATTTGGTCATAACAACTAAATATTGAACTGCAACGTGTATTTGCAGCACTGCAGAAAATCTTGTAAAATAACTAGTTCAATGAAATAGAAATGAAAAATTTTGATCGTACAATCAATCTCAACAAAACGTCTGTCTGGAAAAGCGTGTATAATACAGCAACCACATGCCCTCTGACGCTTCGAAATCACGTTCTGTTCCGCGAGAGTGTGATTTTAGGACGGACTGTAGTAGGCAATTAATTGGCAGAATTTGATCACGGATCAAGTGCTTACCTTCCATGTTGAAATATCCATCAAAGCTCGCCGATTTGCTCCTAAAATGCCCATGTCTGTAAACAATACAAGTTTTATGTCCTGGACCTGATGTTTTTTCATGAAAGGTACAAAAGTTTTGATTGAACTGAAACTTGACACATTTTTATTTGGAAAAAGTTTTTCAGTTTTTTAAGAGTAAAGTACATCTTTTCCTCATACAGATAACGGCTGGCACACACACTAAACCTGGAAAGGATCACATGTTGTACAAGCGCCGAGTAAGTGGTTCCCGGATGTTTGCTTGTTCGGATTTGCAATGGATTTGTGCTCTTCACTTAGATCGTGGACAAAGGTCCTGCAAGAGTCTTCGTTACATCCATAACTGGCACCAGTTTACATTTACTAACACTGCTTTGAACAGCATTTCAGTTA